AATTTGTAGTGTAGAAATTAGGAGGAGGTGTGGATTTCCTAAAAGTATTATTCAGAGAGCTGAGGAGGGGTTATCGAGATGGTTTGGTCATTAAGAGAGGATGGAGCAAAACATGATGACTTGGAGGGTGTATAAATCTGTAGTGGAGGGAAGGAGGGGTAGGTAAGAGAGGGGTTGGTCATACAGCAGGTATGGTGAGTGTGTTAAATGGGAGTGAGTGGAGACGAGTGAATTTTGGGACTTGATGAGCTGTTGGAGTGTAAGCAAGGTAGTATTTTGCGAAGGGATTCAGGGAAACCAGTTAGCTGGACTTGACTCCTGGAGGTGGGAAGTACAATGCCTGCACTTTATAGTAGGGGAGTGGCATCTGAACTGTCGTATGTGCACGCCTCTGCAAAAACAATGATTGTGTGAATAATGGTGAGTTTCTTTCCATTTTGGGTCACCCTGCCTCAGTGGGAGATGGCCAGCATGTTGAAAGAAAGAAGAATTACAGTTCACATCAATACTGAATGTAGAAGACACTTTTTTTTTTTTTTTTTTTTTGAAGGGGAGGGGGAAGAAATGCCTGATATAACCTGGCAAAAGATTGTTTTTCACATTTTAATGGAGGTAACAGTGCTGAAGAATAAAAGATTAAAAATTCTCTGGTGTATCATTCTGAAAACCTAAAATAATTTAAAGATATCACCAAAACTCTCTGCCAGTTGTCTGGATGTCTACTAACAATGTTGGATGACCAGAGAAGGTTTTACGCAGTGGTTTTATAAAAAAAATTTGAAGGATGTTCAACTTTATTGTGCCAGGAAAGGTTTGTCCACTAAGATTTTACTTATACTTAGCAATGCCCTAGGACATCCAATTCATCTAGATGGCTTGGATCCTGATGTTGTGTTCCTTCTGCCAAACACAAACCTTAATATTGCAGACCATAGACCAGGATTGGATTAGGACACTGAAGACCTGTTACACAAGGTGTACATGTTCCCAGGAATTTAAGGCCACAGAAACACTTAAAACTCACAAGGATTATTGAAGGGTATAACATCTGCAGTGTTTTAGTAAATATTAAGGTGACTTGGAGTGAGATCAAGCAATCAACCATGAATGGTGTTCTGAGGAAATTAACCCATCACTTGGCACATGATTTCTGTGGGTTTGAAATGCAAATGAAGAAAGTGGTAGACAACATAGTGGACATGGTAAATGAACTTCACCTTGACACTGAAGATGATGATAATGAGTAGCTGACATTCACATAATGAAGATATTATAGAATTGCAGACAAATGGTTGCAGGAAAAAAGTGCAACAATAATGATCTTGAACATGAACCATAAATGCCATTTAATATCAAAATAACAGCTGAGGGATTCAAGAACAATGGATATGGAATTTCACAATTTGACAAAGTAGATCCAAACAAACCAAGATTTGCCATCTCCAAAATAATTAATAATGCCCTATTACTGCTTAAAATGTACTTGCATTTAAAAACCCTGCTACAATTCCATCAAAATTCTCAGCAGCATCAGCTTCCTATGTTGCTACAAGCAGAGAAATGTCCAGATTCAGGCAGACTGGCACTTGAACAGCCTTCTGAAACCAATTAAGTTTGAATGCCGAGGTTCCACTATATACTATCCTCTTCTAATGGCTCTAAATAAGTCAATGTACATCCCTCTGGTGAGCAATATCAACATTCCACGTAAGTACTGTACACAATGTACATTATTTATATTTTATTGCTTAATTAATATGTACACATCGTAGAAATACTGTTTTATTGTATATGCAATTGACAAGGCATACTGAGGGTAAAATATTGAGTAAAAATTTAATAACTTAATTATTAACTAAAACTAGATATGGAAAGTTAAAGCTCGGGAGCACACTAATCCATCTTTACGCTGTTTCTTATGGGAAAACAGATTCTGAGTACCAAACATTTGAATTACAATGAACTTTCAGGAACTGATGAGGAAAAAAAGGTGAGTGAGCACTGAGGAGTGTGTGGAGATAAAGAACATTATTCATGGAAGCAGAGGGGAATGTATGAAAATACAGTGGTACCAATGCTCTTATATGGGTGTGAAGCATGGGTGGGAATGTTGCAACAAGGAGAAGGTTGGAGGCAGTGGAGATGTTCATGTCTGAGGGCAATGTGCAGTGTGAATATAATGCAGAAAATCTATAGCTTGGAGATCAGGAGGAGGTGCAGGGTTTCTAAAAGTATTATCCAGAGGGCAGAGGAAGGTTTGTTGAGGTGGTTTGGACATTTAGAGAGATGGAACAAAATAGAATGACTTGAAAGGCATATAAATCTGTAGTGGAAGGAAGGTGGGGTAAGGGTCATCCTAGGTAAGGTTGGAGGGAGGGGAAGGGGTTTTGTGTGTGAGGGGCTTGGACTTCCAACAAGCATGCATGAGCATGTTAAGTAGGAGTAGAGACGAACGGCTTTTATGACTTGATGTGCTGTTGGAGTGTGAACAAAGTAACATTTATAAAGGAATTCAGGGAAACCGGTTAGCCGGACTCAAGTCCTGCTGGTGGGAAGTATGGTGCCTGTGCTCTCAAGAGATGTGTTCCAAACAAACCATACCATGGTTTTGTGAGTCAAGAGGTGTTGATATGTTGCAGTTTTTTGCCTCTGGCAAGACAGTGATGGAATGAATGATGATGAAGGCGTTTCTTTCTTTTTGGGTCACCCTGCCTCGGTGGTAGACAGCCAATGTGTTATTAATAATAAAAAAAACTTATATTAACATAGTAAGTGGGGATCTAATGTACTTTTCTTTCAAAATACTTGTGATAACTTATTTGTAATAACTTGCTTGTAATTAAAGGGCATAGAACTAAGTTCATGGTGAAATGTCTTCTAGAAAGAGTTTATCATATATATTTTTAAAGATTCTAGTGGCAGTGGCACATGCTACCTCCTCTTTGAGATAACTCCAGCTATCTACCACTCTGTGAAACAATTAAGGATGATCAAAGCTGTTGTAAGAAAATAAGTTTAATACTTTAAGGTAAAAAATACAGTGGTCCCTGGAGTTTCAATAGGCTGGAGTTATGATAATTTAGTTACAATTTACCTTCATAGAGGAGTTTTGTTTGGAGCTGCAATTAAAAATTCGAGATATGATATGGGTACAATGGTACAACTACTGTGGGTCGCAACCTGAGGAGCAAAACCAACGTAAGCTGCCCAAAATGCTTTGCCTAACCAGGAGTTTTCTATATACAGTAGTATGACAATGATGTCAGCTAGGTCTGTAATAGTTGTATCATGTACTTGTAGACAAAGATTAATATCATCAATATTATGCCTGGCAACACAGCCAGGTGCATACACTTTCATCTCCTTTGTTGGAATTCAAAGGTTTGAACCTAAAGCATTAATACATATACATGATTATTATTACTTTTTAATACACCAGCCATCTCCCACTGGGGCAGGGTGACCCAAGAAAGAATAAAACTATAAAGTTTTTCTTCTTCTTACATTGAGTATTTATCAAGGAGAAAGGGTTACATTTACACTTAGTAATTTATACAGGAGAAAGGGTTACAAGCCCCATGCTCAAGGCACTTTAGTCACCTTTTAAGACATACAAGGCTTACAGAGGAAATTCTTTTCCACTTCCCCATGAAAATGGAAGGAAATAAATAAGAACAAGAACTATGGAGAAAATAGAAGAAAACTCAGAAGGGTTTATGCATATATATGTACATGCATGTGTAGTGTGACCTAAAAGTAAGTAGAAGTAGAAAGATGTACCTGTTATCTTGCATATTTATGAAACAGAAAGAAAAGACACCAGCAATCCTACCATTGTGTAAAACAATTTCAAGCTTCCATTTCACACTCATTTAGCAGGATGAAATGAGCAGGATGGTAGTACCTCCCTGAGTAGTTGCTGTCTACCAGCCTACTATCTATAATTATTATTAATATTACTGCATTATTATTATTATGGTCGGCACGCTCAGGTGAGCCTCAGCCAACCAGTGATGTGATAGCTTGCCTCTTGGAAAGTTATTTTTTTTATTTATTAACACATCGGCCATTTTCCACCAAGGAAGGGTGACCCTTAAAAGAAGAAGAAACACTTATCATCATCATTCACTCCATCACTGTACTGCAAGAAGCGTGCCTACACTACAGTTGTAAAACTGCAACATATCAACACCTCTCCTTCAGAGTGCAGGCACTGTACTTCCTACCTCCAAGACTCAAGTCCAGCTTGCCGGTTTCCCTGAATCCCTTCATAAATGTTACCTTGTTCACACTCCAACAGCACATCAAGCCATAAAAACCAATTGTCTCCACTCTCTCGTATCTAACACGCTCATGCATGCTTGCTCGAAGTCCAAGCCCCTCACACACAAAACCTCCTTTACCCCATCCCTCCAACTTTTCCTAGGCCAACCCCACCTTCCCACCACTACAGATTTATACACTCTCCAAGTCATTCTATTTTGTTCTAACCTTTCCAAATGTCCGAACCACCTCAACAACCCCTCCTCAACCCTCTACATAATACTTTTAGTATTATCTAGAGGGCTGAGGATTCCTTGCATTATATTCACACCATACATTGCCCTCAGACATGACATCTCCACTGCCTCCAGCCTTCTCCTTGTTACAACATTCACCACCCATGCTTCACATCCATATAAGAACAGTGATATAACTACACTCTCATACATTCCATGAATAATATTCATCTCCACACACTCCTCAGTGCACCACTCGCCTTTTTTCCCTCATCAATTCTATGATTCACCTTGTCTTTCATTGACCCATCTGCTGACAAGTCCGCTCCCTAACATCTGAATACATTCACTTCCTCCATACTCCCTCCCTCCCACCCTGATATCCAATCTTTCACCACCTAAATTTTTTGTTAACCTCATCGCTTTACTCTTTCCTATATTCACTTTTAATTTCCTTCCTTTACATACCCTACCAAACTCATTCACCAACCTCTGCAACTTCTCTTCAGAATCTCCCAAAAGCACAGTGTCAACAGCAAAAAGCAACTGTGACAACCACCATTTTGTGCTAGATTCTTTATCTTTTAACCTCACACCAAGAACAACCATGGTGACATCACACATCCCTTTCTAAGGCCTACTTTTACTGGGAAATAATCTCCCTCTCTCCTACATACTCTAACCTGAGCCTCACTATCCTCGTAAAACCTCTTGGAAAGTGTCTGAGCCAATAGGAGTAGTGGTTTGTGAGGGTGGCTTAGCAGCCAATCAGCAATGGGGTTGAATGTCTCTGTGGTAGCAACTCAGCCAATAGCAGAGTTTGTACTAAAGTTTATTTGTTTACTCTTCAGTCTGAAGCTATCACGATGGTTTTCCACAATAATTCTGGATTATTTACCCTTCATAACTTCATTTGTGTTATAATTACACCATCTTTTGCTTTAGCAAGCCATCATGCTCCCTAATATGCACAGTAAATAGGCCATTTCTCTGAAAGTCAAACACGATATTAGTGCACTGGTGTGTGAGTATGGCTTTTCCCACTTAACTACCTTTGCTATTATCCAGCAAATAGAAATAAACAATATTAAAGTGGTTAATGAATCTAAGCTAGAGGAAAAAGACAGAAATTATCACAAAGAAGGAAAGACTGTTATTGTGGATAAAAAAAAGCAGATAAAGGGAGATACAGTGCCTGCAGGTTATATCTGAGTTTGCATGTCCAAGATGCAGTAAAAATTGTTATTCTGGGGTCATAAAAACATGTATTTTGGGGTTTGTTACGATTGTCTGGAGGTACAATATGTCTTCTGGAATGGATTAATATCGTAACTGAAGGGGCCACTGTAGTTTGACCGAAGATCAATTAAATTAAATGCTTTAATGAAAACTTCACATTAGGCTCACCTGCTTGACCATCTTCATAATTTTGTGATTCTTTTGGTGCTGGAGGGAAGCAATCTTTGGAATTACCTCCAAAACACGACCCACAGCTTTGGTACGACCTTCACGAAAAACCTGTAAGTGGGGAGGCCTTTGGTTTAATAAGAAGAAATCTGTAATGGAAGGAAGGCAGGCTAGGGGTTGCCCAAGGAAAGGTTGGAGGGAGGGGCTAAAGGAGGTTTTGTGTGAGGGGAGCTTAGACATCAAGCAGGTGTGTGCTAAAAACTCTTTCCTCTGTAAGTCATGCATGTCATAAGAGGTGATTAAAATGCAGGGAGCAAGGGGCTAGAAACCCCTTGTCCTGCATAAATAACTAAATGTAAAAAGAAGAAACTTTACACTTCTTCTTTTTTGTTTTGGTAGGAGATGGCCATTGTGTTAATTTTTTTTTTTTAACACTTCAGCTGTTTCCCACTTAGGCAGGGTGACCCAAAAAGAAAGAAAAACCCAAAAAGAAAAACAAGCTGTCATCATCATTCAACACTTTCACCATTATTCATACATAATCACTGTCTTTGCAAAGGTGCTCAGATACTACAGCTTAGACATCCCTCCAAATTGCCAATATCCCAATCCCCTCCTTTAACCCTTTCAGGGTTTCGGACATACTAGTATGGCTTACACACCAGTGTCCATGACGTACTAGTGCGCATAAATTCTAGCGCCTTCAAATCTAGTAAGAGAAAGCTGGTAGGCCTATATATGAAAGAATGGGTCTATGTGGTCAGTGTGCGCAGTATAAAAAAAAATCCTGCAGCACACAGTGCGTAATGAGAAAAAAAAAACTTTGACCGTGTTTTTTGGATTAAAACAGAGACTTTGTACTATATTTTCTTATGGTATTTATTGCTGTATTCTAGGTTTCCTGGTCTCATTGTATAGAATGGAAGACATATTACAGAAATTGAGATGATTTTGACTGGTTTTACAATGAAATGTACCTTGAAATTGAGCTCAAAGTAGCAGAAATGTTCAATTTTTACCAAAGTTCAAAAGTAAACAAATCATGCTAAGCGTCCAATACACATCAACTGGTGAGTCTAATATTCTTTCACAAGTGTGCCGATATTATTTATACCATTCCTACACTAATGCAGTAGTCTGCATAACAATAAATCTTATTTTTTTTGTGAGAATAAAAATTCAAAGTGGAAAGCAAAAAAAATGTAAGAGGGGCCTGGGGACATGACTAATGAACAGAGGAAATGTTATTTTAGTGCCAGGAATGTCTTTCTTGTTTATTCTGGACCCTATTTGGAAATTGGCATCTTTTGAAATTTGTGTGAAATTGACAAAATTGCTAAATTCTGACCACTGTATTGGATAGTTGAAATCGGTAAACTGGTGTTTTCTTGTACTCATTCGATAAAAAAATGGAGTTCTAGCGAAATAGTTATGATTTTTGTTGACTAGTACATTGGAATTGGCCGAAAATAGGGCTCAAAGTGGGCAAAATTGTTGATGCGTAAACATCATTGAGACCGCTAACTTCGCGAGAGCATAATTCCCTAAGTTTTCCATCAAATTTCATACTTTTGGTGTCATTATGATCGGGAAAAGATTCTCTATCTTTTCATAAGAATTTTTTTTTTTTTTTTTTTTTTTTAAATTTGGAAGACCCTGAGAACAAGTCTCTGAGAGGGCCTGTGGACCCTGAAAAGGTTAAAGTGCAGGTACTGTACATCCCATTTCCAGGACTCAAGTCCAGCTAACCAGTTTCCCTGAATCCCTTCACAAAATATTACCCTGCTTACACTCCAACAGCTTGTCAGGTCCCAAAAACCATTTGTCTCCATTCACTCCTATTATAGACGCTCAGGCACGCTTGCTGAAGTCCAAGCCTCTCGCTCGCAAAAACATATCCAATTAATAAAGTGAGATGTAAGAGAGTAGGATTGCAAGTATTTTGTTTTAATTTTATAAGCCATCTCCCACCAAGGTAGGAGGAATCTCCCCCCCCCCCACACACACACTTTTTTTTTTTTACTTTTTGATAGCAACTACTTTACTATATGAACTTTGACACATAACCCTTAGCATCCCTTCCAGCCCTTTTCTCCCCTCACTTCTGATCCTCTCTCCACTAGCTGTTTATAGCGCCAGCACTATTTTCTGCCCCATGGCGCTGCATGACCCTTGTCGGTTTAGCTTTTGATTTGATTATAATAATAATCCTCCCCCCCCCCCCCCCAAAAAAAAAAAAAGAAGAAACATTTGTCATTCAACTGTGTTAATATTTCACTCTGGATGACACCCAGAGTGAAAGCATAGTCATGATAAAAGTTTCCTCTAAACTAAGTGTCTCTCCTGCAATGTAGAAGACACAGTAGAAAATAATTCTTTAGTTAAGCAAACGAGTTAAAAAAAAAATTATAATGAGACATTATGAGCCTAATTATAATCATGTAGCGACATATTGGTAATAATAGTTCATAAATATCAAATTAAAAATGGTCGTTTTGATTAGAAAAACAAATTAGTAACAGTATATTACAAATCATTTTGCTAGAGAAAGACAAATTGGCTACTACAACAACAACAAATATAAAAAAGTATTTTTTATTAATGAAAATACAAGCAATGCATTTCTTTAAATACAATAGTTAAGAAAAATCTAACTCTTTTATAAAATACACTACCATTTTAAGTCCATTTTTTAGGTATTCAGGATGTTTGATAAATCTGAAGTGAACAATGGCCTTGTCTCCTGTTCTCAAGCACTCCTTATCCATAGCAATAATGGATGCTGTTTGCCGTACAGAACCCACATGAACCATGGCCTGGTATTTTGTACTAATAGTTGTAGGGTGATGTAATACCAGTATTTCTCCCTGTAAATAGTACATCGATTTTAAATACAATTATTACAGACTCACATTATTAAAGAGGTCTCCTTGCATTACAATGAATACAAAACATTAATCACAAAGTAAACTTATGTTGTTTAAGGATATAAATTTATAAATGACAATGCCTTGTATCAGCAGTAACAGGAATGCATAAAACATAATATATTTAATCTACTGAATGTGTGAAAGTAATAGAAGTTGGTAGAGTCACATTATTGTCATAACTGATAAATATGGCCCAGTTGTAATGGTACCAGTGGATTATATGAGAGCTAAGGTTGTTAAATTCTCCATGGGAAAGTGGAACAGAATTCTTCCTCCATAAGCCATGTGTGTCATAAGAGGCAACTAAGATGCCAGGAGCAAGGGGCTATTATCCATTTCTGTATATATTACTAAATTTAAAAGGAGAAACTTTTGTTTTTTTCCTTTTGGGCCACTCTGCCTCAGTGGGATATGGCCAGTTTGATGAAAGAAGAAGAAAGGAGGAGGAGGTTGGTAAGTAATAATATCACAATAATGTGTAACAGAAAAATAAAGTTGCAGTTATACTCTCAAGCATATTCGAGAGAGAGTTGCATATGCTATCACTAGTAAGGGCAATCCAGTAACAAATCTTTTGAAACCAAAACACTGGCAAACATATTGAAGCTAGAGTTACATCATTCTACAAAGGTGATTATCCCATTGGCAGAAGATTATAGACTAATATCTAACCTACAAATACTATCAATTTACTTTAGAAAATAGTTTACAAGAAATATGCTTCATCCATGTCAGTTTGATTTCATTCTAAAAGCAAAAAAATACATTTTTTTTTTTTTTTTTTTTTTCAACAAGTCGGCCGTCTCCCACCGAGGCAGGGTGACCCAAAAAAGAAAGAAAATCCCCAAAAAGAAAATACTTTCATCATCATTCAACACTTTCACCACACTCGCACATGATCACTGTTTTTGCAGAGGTGCTCAGAATACAACATTTTAGAAGCATTTCACATATAAAGATACACTACATATCCCTCCAAACTGCCAATATCCCAAACCCATCCTTTAAAGTGCAGGCATTGTACTTCCCATTTCCAGGACTCAAGTCCGACTATATGAAAATAACCGGTTTCCCTGAATTATTTTTTTTTTTTTTATTATCACACTGGCCGATTCCCACCAAGGCAGGGTGGCCCGAAAAAGAAAAACTTTCATCATCATTCACTCCATCACTGTCTTGCCAGAAGGGTGCTTTACACTACAGTTTTTAAACTGCAACATTAACACCCCTCCTTCAGAGTGCAGGCACTGTACTTCCCATCTCCAGGACTCAAGTCCGGCCTGCCGGTTTCCCTGAATCCCTTCATAAATGTTACTTTGCTCACACTCCAACAGCACGTCAAGTATTAAAAACCATTTGTCTCCATTCACTCCTATCAAACACGCTCACGCATGCCTGCTGGAAGTCCAAGCCCTCGCACACAAAACCTCCTTTACCCCTTCCCTCCAACCTTTCCTAGGCCGACCCCTACCCCGCCTTCCTTCCACTACAGACTGATACACTCTTGAAGTCATTCTGTTTCGCTCCATTCTCTCTACATGTCCGAACCACCTCAACAACCCTTCCTCAGCCCTCTGGACAACAGTTTTGGTAATCCCGCACCTCCTCTAACTTCCAAACTACGAATTCTCTGCATTATATTCACACCACACATTGCCCTCAGACATGACATCTCCACTGCCTCCAGCCTTCTCCTCGCTGCAACATTCATCACCCACGCTTCACACCCATATAAGAGCGTTGGTAAAACTATACTCTCATACATTCCCCCCTTTGCCTCCAAGGACAAAGTTCTTTGTCTCCACAGACTCCTAAGTGCACCACTCACTCTTTTTCCCTCATCAATTCTATGATTCACCTCATCTTTCATAGACCCATCCGCTGACACGTCCACTCCCAAATATCTGAATACATTCACCTCCTCCATACTCTCTCCCTCCAATCTGATATTCAATCTTTCATCACCTAATCTTTTTGTTATCCTCATAACCTTACTCTTTCCTGTATTCACCTTTAATTTTCTTCTTTTGCACACCCTACCAAATTCATCCCCAATCTCTGCAGCTTCTCTTCAGAATCTCCTGAATCCCTTCACTAAATATTACCCTGCTCACACTCCAACAGATCGTCAGGTCCCAAGTACCATTCGTCTCCATTCACTCCTATCTAACACGCTCACGCACGCTTGCTGGAAGTCCAAGCCCCTCGCCCACAAAACCTCCTTTACCCCCTCTCTCCAACCCTTTCGAAGACGACCCTACCCCGCCTTCCTTCCCCTATAGATTTATATGCTTTCCATGTCATTCTACTTTGATCCATTCTCTCTAAATGACCAAACCACCTCAACAACCCCTCTTCTGCCCTCTGACTAATACTTTTATTAACTCCACACCTTCTCCTAATTTCCAAACTCCGAATTTTCTGCATAATATTTACACCACACATTGTCCTTAAACAGGACATCTCCACTGCCTCCAAACGTCTCCTCGCTGCTGCATTTACCACCCAAGCTTCACACCCATATAAAAGTGTTGGCTCTACTATACTTTCATACATTCCCTTCTTTGCCTCCATAGATAACGTTTTTTGACTCCACATATACCTCAACGCACCACTCACCTTTTTTCCCTCATCAATTCAATGATTAACCTCATCCTTCATAAATCCATCCGCCGACACGTCAACTCCCAAGTATCTGAAAACATTCACTTCTTCCATACTCCTCCTCTCCAATTTGATATCCAATTTTTCTTTATCTAAATCATTTGACACCCTCATCACCTTACTCTTTTCTATGTTCACTTTCAACTTTCTACCTTTACACACATTCCCAAACTCATCCACTAACCTTTGCAATTTTTCTTTAGAATCTCCCATAAGCACAGTATCATCAGCAAAAAGTAACTGGTCAATTCCATTTTGATTTGATTCCCCAAATTTAATCCCACCCCTCTCCCGAACACCCTAGCATTTACTTCCTTTACAACCCCATCTATAAATATATTAAACAACCATGGTGACATTACACATCCCTGTCTAAGACCTACTTTTACCGGGAAATAGTCTCCCTCTCTTCTACACACCCTAACCTGAGCTTCACTATCCTCATAAAAACTCTTTACAGCATTTAATAACTTACCACATATTCCATATACTTGCAACATCTGCCACATTGCTCCTCTATCCACTCTATCATATGCCTTTTCTAAATCCATAAATGCAATAAAAACTTCCCTATACATATAATGCAATAATAAAAATGATTAATACAATCTCAAATTTTAGTTTCATTGTAATGCCTCTGCCTTTATTTATCATGGCAGGATGACCCAAAGAAAAAAATGTTCATCATAATTCAATAACTCAATGAAATTTAATATCCCCACTAGTCTTTCAAAGTGTAGGCCTCATACTTCTTCCCTTTAAAACTCATGTCAAGCTAAATGGTTTCCTTGAATCTCTTCATAGATATTACTAAGTTCACACTCCAACAGCATGTCCAATCCCAAAAATCACTTACCTTCAATCACAATAATCGGACATGCTCAAGCCCCTTTTTCTCATCAACCTTTATACCCTCCCTCCAACCCTTCCTCAAACATACCCTACACTTTCTATCCATCCTAGATTAATATAATCTCTTGATCAACCTATTTTTATCCAATATCTCTATATAACTAAACCATCTCAACAGCCCCCATTTCATTCTTTAAACTATATCTTTCATCCAATATGTGATCTCTGTGATATGATATTTCCACTGCTTTAAGTTTCGTCACACTATGTTATTTCATCTCAAACATTTATGTATTAACAATGTTTTAGTCATAAATTGTCAGTGTTCTCTCTTGTCAAATTGTTTGGATATTCTCATCTAGACGTTTAACCTGAAAACATATTTTACTTTACAATACAGTATTTATCACTATCAATCAAACTTTTATACATACATACACACTAACCTTTCATTAGTTCTAATTTTATCTCTAATATGATTTTCTTCATATGAAATTGTCGATTATATGTTACACACAATATACTGAAACTCAAATCACATGTAAATCATATTTCAAGTCTTTTAGACTTAGTGAATTCTACAAATATGCCACATGTTTCTGTTATAGAATAGCTATTGAAGAGGGTTGGAATAGTTTTAAAAATGCAGTATTAGAATGTGGGGCAGAAGTTCGTGGTTATAGGAGGGTGGGTGCAGGAGGAAAGAGAAGTGATTGGTGGAAAGATGAAGGGTGTGATAAAAGAGAAAAAGGTAGCTTATGAGAGGTTTATACAAAGCAGAAGTGTTATAAGAAGAGTAGAGTATATGGAGAGTAAAAGAAAGGTGAAGAGAGTGGTGAGAGAGTGCAACAGGAGAGCAGATGAGAGAGTGGGAGAGGCATTATCAAGAAATTTTAATGAAAATAATAAAAAATTTTGGAGTGAGTTAAACAAGCTAAGAAAGCCTAGGGAACGAATGGATTTGTCAGTTAAAAACAGAGTAGGGGAGTTAGTAGATGGGGAGATGGAGGAATTGGGTAGATTGCAAGAATATTTTGAGGAACTTTTAAATGTCGACGAAGAAATGGAGGCGGTAATTTCATGCAATGGCCAGGGAGGTATACCATCTTTTAGAAGTGAAGAAGAGCAGGATGTGAGTGTGGGGGAGGTGCGTGAGGCACAATGTAGAATGAAAGGGGGTAAAGCAGCTGGAACTGATGGGATCATGACAGAAATGTTAAAAGCAGGGAGGGATATAGTGTTGGAGTGGTTGGTATTTTTGTTTAATAATTTTTTTTTTTTAACAAGTCGGCCGTCTCCCACCAAGGCAGGGTGACCCAAAAAGAAAGAAAATCCCCCAAAAAGAAAATACTTTCATCATCATTCAACACTTTCACCTCACTCACACATAATCACTGTTTTTGCAGAGGTGCTCAGAACACAACAGCTTAGAAGCATATACGTATAAAGATACACAACATATCCCTCCAAACTCCTAATATCCCGAAACCCCTCCTTTAGAGTGCAGGCATTGTACTTCCCATTTCCAGGACACAAGTCCGGCTATATAAAAATAACCAGTTTCCCTGAATCCCTTCACTAAATATTACCCTGCTCACACTCCAACAGATCGTCAGGTCCCAAATACCATTCGTCTCCATTCACTCCTATCGAACAAGCTCATGCATGCTTGCTGGAACTCAAAGCTCCTCGCCCACAAAACTTTCCTTACCCCTTCCTTCCAACCTTTTCGAGGACGACCCCTACCCTGCCTTCCTTCCCCTACAGATTTAAATGCTCTCCATGTCATTCTACTTTGATCCATTCTCATTAAATGACCAAACCACCTCAACAACCCCTCTTCAGCCCTCTGACTAATACTTTTGTTAACTCCACACCTTCTCCTAATTTCCACACTCCGAATTTTCTGCATAATATTTACACCACACATTGCCCTTAGATAGGACATCTCCACTGCCTCCAATCGCCTCCTCGCTGCTGCATTCACAACCCAAGCTTCACACCCATATAAGAGTGTTGGTACTACTATACTTTCATACATTCCCTTCTTTGCCTCCATAGATAATGTTTGTCTCCACATATACCTCAATGCACCACTCACCTTTTTTCCCTCATCAATTCTATGATTAATCTCATCCTTCATTAATTCATCCACTTACACGTCAACTCCCAAGTATCTGAAAACATTCACTTCTTCCATACTCCTCCTCCCCTAATTGATATCCAATTTTTCTTTATCTAAATCATTTGAATGTGGATGTTATGAATGAGAAGAAGCTGGATGTCCTGGCTTTAAGGTGAAACAAAGCTGAAGGGGGTGGGAGAGTTTCAGTGGAGAGGAATAAGTGGGATTAGGTCAGGGGTTTCAAACAGCGTTAGAGCAGGGTAATATTTCGTGGAAGGATTCAGGGAAACCAGTTATTTTTACATAGTCGGACTTGAGTCCTGGAAATGGGAAGTACAATGCCTGCACTCTAAAGGAGGCATTCAGGATATTAGCAGTTTGGAGGGATATGTTGTGCATCTTTATACGTATATGCTTCTAAACTGTTGTATTCTGGGCACCTCTGCAAAAACAGTGATTATGTGTGAGTGAGGTGGAAGTGTTGAATGATGATGAAAGTATTTTCTTTTTGGGGGATTTTCTTTCTTTTTGGCTCACCCTGCCTTGGTGGGAGATGGCCAACTTGTTTAAAAAAAAAAAAAAAAAAATTAAGGTTCTGTTGCCAAACAGCATGAAGTATGTTTTGTCTATGTTGAGAGTGAGTTTGTTGGTCATCAACCAAGTACATGTATATATTTTTAGCAGCTCAGTGTTTAAATATGTTGCACCACACAACAGATCAATACATAGAATTATTTTAAAATTCCATGTAATCAAACTGAATTTGAAAAATATTGCTCTTACACTAAAAACAAACATACCTTAAATTCCCAACAAGATGAAGGATTTAATGATGGATCAACCAGCACTTGTCCTTTACGCACATCATGAAACTTAATCTTCTTTAATGCAAATGATGCTGTCTGGCCTCCTCTTACCTCACGTACAGGCATGCGTTTTCGGTGTATAGATTTAATAGGCATGGGTATGAAGTCACCCAATCCATTAGGACCAAGCAAAAGTGTATCATTCACCCTGATAATTCCCTTCATACATGTGCCTGATACCACAACACCCACACCCTGTACAAGATGAAATTCTGTTTATTAAAATTACTAATGCAGTATATGAGTTTCCTAAAACAAAATTATGTAACACACCTAAGGAAGATTTTCTTCCTGAGGTCACTTAGCTAAATACTAAATGAGTACATGGGAGTATATAGAAAAGGCAAATAGTAGATTTGAAAGTCCACACCTAGACTATACACTGAGAGGGGCTAGCTACTATTTTGACTGAAGACTACTGTATCTATTATCATCTAGATCAGTGGCTCCCAAACTTTTTCAGGCTGCCACCCTTCTGGCTCCCAGGCCACATCCCTAGCACCCCCACCCCACACACACACATACGAACACACCTTTTTCTTGGTATTGGGTTTACTGCAAATTCAAAACCACAATTAATCTAACACTATAAACATGTGTATTTATTCACAAATAAAAATTTACATAGTAAACTAATATTTTTAACAATATCAACGGGTAAATTTATATCTTATCTGTAACTACATTATCTACACAATTATAATGAGATGGATGTGCTTGGTGCAGGGACTTCAGTTTCTCAATATCAGGCTTGAGGGCACTAAGAAGTCTCAAATCCCTGCGTTCAGTAATTTTCAGTCTATTTCTTTGCTTGGAAAGAAGCTTGGTGACTGCACTGAAGCCTTGCTCTACTAAATATAACATTGGAAAGGCAATACAATACATCTTGATTTTGTTCCAGTGCAGGGTAGAGGTCAGAAATGCTTTTTGTAACCAAAAAATCTTGATTAATTTTTTGAACTGTGGCCTCAGTTCAATGTCATTTTGGAGTGAAATCAGTTCTTCCTCCACCACTCCTGTTTCCTCATTGCTGATATCTAGGAATGGACTGATCACCAAGTCTGGTATTTTAACTAATAAAAAGATCCTGAAATCTGTCAGACATGTCTCTATGTAGCTCTATCAGGTGTACACAATACACTCAAAGGTCATTGTCTGGTACGCTCCTCTTCTCCAATTCAGAGAGGCTCGGAAACTAGAAGAGCTCATGATGGGCTATGTTACGTTTAAATAACTGGAACCTGGACAAAAAAGTGGAAAGGGCTGATCTGACTTTGATAAGATTAACCTCATTTCCTTGCAACTGCAAATTAACTTCGGTGAACTTTGTGAGTACATCTAATAAATAAGCAATGTCATGCATGTTGTTTCTTAATTCATCACACAGAACAGAACCAGAGTCTTGGAAGAATTTAACAACAGTTTTAAGAAGTTACTAGAAATGTCTCAGAAAGTTTCCCTCTGATAGCCATCTAACTTCTGTATGCAACAACAAACATTCAAAATCTTCTGTCTGATCTGCTATCTGATCTAGCTGGAATGTGACATCTGAATAAATGTTCAGACTTCTAACTCTGACTTCGAACCACACAATAAAATAAAACTATGCTTTCATGTATAGCTCTATGTTAATTTTATTCTTTATGAAGCATCTGTTACTTAAGTATTCATGACTTAGATTCTGTCATATAGATTTTTTTAAAATAAGCACTCCCTTGGTTTTGATGCCACCCTGCCGCCCTCTTTTTCCTCAATGCCCCCTGGATCTTTCCACTGCCCCCAGGGGGGTGGTACCACCCACTTTGGGAATCAGTGATCTAGATAGTTAGCTACTACTATTTCAACTGAAGACTACTGTATCTATTATCATCTACATAGTTATGATGAGGAGTAAAGCAGAAGGCTCTCCCTAAAAGGCCTAGAGAGAAATATGATAGGCAACTTCTTCCTTGATTGTGTGTGTCAGAGAACTGAATATTATTGGTAGTGAATTGTTAAATCATTCAGCAGCAAGCTTTTTCATTACAATACTAAATTCATCTTTGATAGATATTGGTATTTTGGCAAGACAGTCTGTCCATTTCAGATATGACTTGGGAAGGTATTTCCTGCATCTAATTATTATTATTATCCCATTCTTCCTTTCGCTGTTACAGTGAATCATAAGGGATGATTCCGACATAAGCAATTAGAAAAAGAAAAAGGTGTTGACAATATAAAGGTTTCTGCCTATCTATATGTCCAGACATAAGTAAAGTAATATAGACAGATACACACTTCTAGTGACAAAGAGGAGACAAATCAACAGCAACATTAAAAGGCCCCCTTACTAATCATGGGAAAGGATAAATGTTTAATAGGTATCAAACTTTGGAGCAACACTTAATTAAGACTGCCTGCTCTCTCTTACTAAGAATATTTATAAATTTGATGCTAGAGCAGCAAATCTAATTTGGTGGCTTTCCTGCTATTCACCTTTACCTTTGTTTAGAAAGTTTCTAGAAAGCCAAATTAATTGGCCTGAGCTCTACATGGAATATTTTCTTGTAGAACTGGACACTAAATGAATGCAGCAGTTCTTTCAGTACTTTAGTAGCACAGTAGGGCCCTACTTTACAGTGTTTCGCCTTACAGCATTCTGCTAAGACGGCGATTTCAAATTATGACCAAAATTTGCAATATGGCAAGTCATCTCTCAAATACGGCACACCCCACCCGGTTTGCTTACATTCACCGTGAGCACATCTATTATGTCTGGAAACTTCCAAAATTTCAAGTTTTAAAGTTATTGCATATTTTATATGTACTCTGATAATTATGCTTATGTGTACCTGTTCCTAAATATACTTACACACTGCGCTGGCATGCAGGTACACATTAAAATCACTAAAGAATCTCTCTACTCATGGCGCCACAGTAATATGTACTACGTAATAATAATCTCTCTTGGGCATATTAAATGTCTTATTTTACATTAATATAGACATTTTCATTAATCCATCTATGATATTTTCTTCAAAATTATACAAGAAACATGTTACATAGCATATAAACATTATACATACACCCATAGAATAAAAATAGACAAATATGAGATTTGTTTACAAAGAGGCTTTGTAGGAGTGTTGGAAGAATTACGTTTTCTCTAGTCAAACACTGGGGGATAACTGTAGATAAATATTCCTTTCGTATGCTTTCACTCTATATATAGCAATTCACGACCCTTGTGGGTTTAGTGCTTCTTTTTTATTATGATTATAATAATACATGTAATAACTTGTAATAATAATAATTTGCAATAATAATAATTTGTAATAATAATAATAACAATAATAATTTGTCAGAGCATCATTCCTTCTAAAAATTACATGAGAATGGAAATGTTGGTACGTATTTATATATTCTACTGTACCACTGTGGAGACAACTTGTACACAACGTAAGGTGTTTGTATGAATGCTTATGAACCATAACCAGATGCATCGTCTGTTTGTTTACATAGTAGGTGGGGTGGCCAGGCTGACTTTCCTACACTACCCTACTTACCACACCGCTTTATACAAATAAATACTTTTCACCTTTCACACTACATTAAGACTACAAATATTTTAAGATAAGTAATGAGTGTACTGTATATGCATTTTATCATTCTATGGAGCTTTAAGTATCGTCGAAGTACAGTGGACCCCCGGTTAACGAACTTTTTTCATTCCAGTAGTATGTTCAGGTGCCAGTACTGACCGAATTTTTCCCATAAGGAATATTGTGAAGTAGATTAGTCCATTTCAGACCCCCAAACATACACGTACAAACGCACTTACATAAATACACTTACATAATTGGCAGCATTTGGAGGTGATCGTTAAGCGAGGGTCCACTGTATACTATATGTGGGTGGGGTGGCCAGAAGGGCTGCAACATCTAACTTCTTAGAGTAAATACTACTCACCTTTTGCCCTACATTAAGACTACGAATATTTTGAGGTAAACAATGAGTGTACTGTGTGTGTATTTTACTTTTTTATTGTTTTAATGCATAATTCTATTGCTAACTTAAAATATGTTAGTGTAAACTTGCTATCTGGCAAGTACATGTAATTATAAGTGGAAAAAAATAGCGTTCTGCTTTCCAGCAATGTCTGCTTTCCGGCAGTAGCCTGGAACCCAACCTGCCATATAAGCGGGGCCCTATTGTACTTCAACAATGATGCAACACTCCAGCATTTCACCCTTATTAAAAGGTTTACATAAAATTAAAAAAAAAAAATTTATTCCTCTTTGAGCATCAACAGTCTCCTACACATCCAATACATTTAATGCTGAACATTACTGTTTTAAAATGTTTCTCAGTAACATAACACATTTCAAATATTATTAATCATGTAATTTACGAAAAAAAAAAAAATGAACAAGAATTATTGTTGAGAATTTCAAAAATAAAATACAAAAAAGGAGAAAAGTTATAACAAACCTCCAAATAATAGACTTTGGAAATACAGATAAAAAATTAGCTGTGTTAATTGACTCAGAAACAGCAGTCAAAAACCTTTGGCTACATATTTGTCAATTACTGTTAATCATTTTTTTTTTTTTTTATAAAAGTCGGCCGCCTCCCACCGAGGCAGGGTGACCCAAAAAAGAAAGAAAATCCCCCAAAAGAAAATACTTTCATCATCATTCAACACTTTCACCTCACTCACACATAATCACTGTTTTTGCAGAGGTGCTCAGAACACAACAGCTTAGAAGCATATACCTATAAAGATACACAACATATCCCTCCAAACTCCTAATATCCCGAAACCCCTCCTTTAGAGTGCAGGCATTGTACTTCTCATTTCCAGGACTCAAGTCCGGTTATATAAAAAAATAACCGGTTTCCCTGAATCCCTTCACTAAATATTACCCTGCTCACACTCCAACAGATCGTCAGGTCCCAAAAACCATTCGTCTCCATTCACTCCTATCGAACATGCTCATGCACGCCTGCTGGAAGTCAAAGCCCCTCGCCCACAAAACCTCCCTTACCCCTTCCTTCCAACCTTTTCGAGGATGACCCCTACCCCGCCTTCCTTTCCCTCCAGATTTAAATGCTCTCCATGTCATTCTACTTTGATCCATTCTCTCTAAATGACCAAACCACCTCAACAACCCCTCTTCTGCCCTCTGACTAATACTTTTATTAACTCCACACCTTCTCCTAATTTCCACACTCCGAATTTTCTGCATAATATTTACACCACACATTGACCTTAGACAGGACATCTCCACTGCCTCCAACCGCCTCCTCGCTGCTGCATTCACAACCCAAGCTTCACACCCATATAAGAGTGTTGGTACTACTATACTTTCATACATTCCCTTCTTTGCCTCCATAGATAACGTTGTCTCCACATATACCTCAATGCACCACTCACCTTTTTTCCCTCATCAATTCTATGATTAACCTTATCCTTCGTAAATCCATCCGCCGACACGTCAACTCCCAAGTAGTGTCTGAAAACATTTACTTCTTCCATACTCCTCCTCCCCAATTTGATATCCAATTTTTCTTTAAATCATTTGATACCCTCATCACCTTACTCTTTTTTATGTTCACTTTCAACTTTTTTCCTTTTCACACACTCCCAAACTCATCCCCCAAACCCTTTGCAATTTTTTTTAGAATCTCCCAGGCACAGTATCATCACCCAAAAAGCAACTGGGGTTAAATTCCCCTTTTTTGGTTTTTGGGATTCCCCATAATTTAACCCCCCCACCCCTTTCCCAAACACCCCTAGCATTTACTTCTTTTACCCCCCAACAAAAAAAATATATTAAAAAAACCAAATGGGGGACAAAAAACACATCCCTGTCTAAGACCTACTTTTCCCGGGGAAGTAGTCTCCCTCCTTCTTACACCCCCTAACCTAAACCCTCACACCCCTTAAAAAACTCTTTCCCGCATTTGTAACTTCCACCTATTCCATATACGCAACACCCGCCACTTTGTTTCCCCCAATCCACTCAATCATATCCCTTTTCTAAACCCTTTAAATGCAAAAAAAACCCCCCTCCCTTTTATCTAAATACGGGTTCACATAAAAATGCCTCAAGGGTAAACCTTGATCTACACATCCCCTACCCACTCTGAAACCCCCTTTGCTCATCCCCCCAATCCTACTTTTGCCCTCCCTCAAATTTTTTTAAAATTATAACCCCCCCGTACACTTTTCCGGGTATACCAGAAAACTTTTTCCTTATAATTTTTAAATTTCTTTTTTTGCCCCCCTTCCCCTTTTTATAAAAAAGGGGGACTATACTCTCTCTCCCAAACCCCCTAGGTACCCCCCCCTTTTTCCAAAACATTTTTAAAACAAAATACCAACCCCACCCCAAACACTAACCCCCCCCAGTTTTTAACTTTTTCTGCATGATCCCATCAGTTCCGGGTGCTGTCCCCCCCCTTTCATTCTACTAATCCCTCATTTACCCCCCCACACTTAAAATTCTGCTGCTTCACCCCCAAAAGATTTTTAATATCATACCCAAAACAAGGGTTTTTCTCTACCCAAAACCATGACTGTCATTAGCACCCACCCTTTTTTCCCTATTAATCCATTACAGGAAAGGGTTAATTTTACAAAAATTTATTATTTTTTTAACCCCCAATCACCCCTTTTCCCCCAAGGCGGGGTGACCCAAAAAGAAAAAAAAACTTTCATCATAAAATTATAAAATTATACTAAAATTATAAAAATTTAAAAAAAAAAAAAACTGCTAGGGGGAAATGGGCATGCTCAAAATAAAAAAAAAAAGGCCCAAAATACCGGGCTGGAACGTTACACAAAAAACCCTGAAACATAGAAGGGGACCCGGGAGGGATTACTGGGGATTTTGAAAAAGGTTTCCCAGTTGGACGAAACATCGTCTTTAGGCTCCTCTTTTCTATGTCCGGGTTATTTTTTGGAATTAGAAAGCTCTTTAAAAATTCAAAAACTCACAGGAACTTGATAAGTATCGTCAATCTAAAATTTTGCGCTGGGTACGTAATTCGTGGCGCCCTTTGATGACAGTATTTTTCAAAAAACCCAAGTAAAAAGGGCCCAAGATTTCACCGGGCCCACATTAGACACTTGAAAGATGGGAAAAACCTGGGAAAAAATGAAATTGCAAATACTCTCATTAATGAAAAAACGTTTAAGAAAATTAGCTTTTTTTTCATGAGTAAGAAAAAACCAATCCCCCTGAATGGTTTCCAAGACAAACCCAAAAACAGGAAAATACAGAAACACGGGAAGTTTAGGTAAACACAAAAAAAGAGGGAAAATGAAGACGGTAATGAGTCTAAATAGAGTACTGATTTAGTATTGATAAAAAAGGGGGGTATAAAAAAATAAATAAAATCAGATCCAGTGGCCCCCGAGTTTCAGCAGCCCCGAATTGTGATATTTTTACCTTTGGCGAGTTTTTTTTTACGAAAAATTTGGGGCCCCGGGGTTTCATGATTAGACTCATTTTCGGCAACCGTCCCGTACCCGTCTGCCCGTCACGCGCACACCAACCAGTCTCCCACGCCATTCCGCTCATTTTGCCTTATTTTCCAAAATTGACTATCCCCCCCCGGGGTTCATCATTTCATTTTTAATAATTTCCCTTGTTTTTTTTTTGCTTGCAACTGAAATAAGTCATTGGACCCCAAAGGAAAACTAATACAGCCCTTTTGGGAAATAAATTTAGGAAAACGATCCGAGGATTTTGAAGGGGTTTTAGGAAGGAACCCCCCGTCCCCGCCCACCCCTGCCTGTTGGGGGAAGGTTTTTGGCAATTGGGGCAAAATCCGTGGGGTTGGAGGTGAGGGCAGGGGTGTGGAAGAGTTGGTGGAGGGCCACAGGGAAGAGCAAACCCCTGACGAACTGCCCAAAAGCTTTTAACTGGAACGCATTTAACCACAGCCAAAGGAAAATTTCTTTAGAGGAGGAGGAAAAGGGAGTTGGGGTGAGGTGCCCTTCCCTTTAAAGATTTTAAGGGGATTTTTTGGCCCAAATGGGATGGGGGTTGGGAAAGTTTTTTTTGAAAATTTTCACCCTGACCCAAGCTTAAAACAAACCATTCTTCAACATAACCCAAAGACAGTGTTTTTTGTCCCCCTTCAGGAAAAAACTTAAAGAAATGCCAAAAAAGACCCCTTTTTGGACAGATATTTTGTGCAACAGGGGTAGTGACTCTCAAGTTGGGTTTCCCCGCAGCATTTAAAAAAAGAAGGGAAGTAACCCCGATAAGGGGCTTGCTACCTAAAGTCCCCAAAGGAAAAAAAGGGTTCTCCTTCCAAACAAAGTGTACACCTTCCTCCCATCCCCTTCCTGTCTTCCATCCACCCAGAAGTCTTCGTAAAGTAAGTGTAATACACAAAAAACCCCGCACAAAAAAGAGAAAGTACACGACGTTTCGGTCCGACGGGACCTTTGAAAAAGTCACACTGACGAGGTGGGCAGGAGGTTTTTAAGGCAGGAAGGTGGAGGTAGTATAGTAGAGTACAAGAATTGTAAAATACCGAAGGATGAAATGACACTTCCAACACCCGGCACCCCCCCGTAGCTTTTTCCCCATCCACCAGCCACGGATGGCGAAACGTCCACAAAAAAGACAACCAATCCGCAATTGTCTTAATTTCATCAGTTTTGTATAGAAGAAGAAGAGGTAGTATAGTGGTAGTGGTAGAAGTGGGAAATAAGGAAGACGACCAGTAAAATTTAAAAAGGGAAGGGGAGCACTGCAAGAGAGCAGAAACCCCAGGGGAGAGAAAGGCACCGGGGTGCGTAAAAGGGGAAGTGGTGAAAAAAAAAATAAAGAAGAGAACAGAAAAGAGAAGGAGGAAGGAAGGAAAGGAAGGAAGGAAGGGGGAGGAAGAGGGGAGAAGAGGGGGGAGAGAGAGAGAGAGAGAGAGGAGGAGGAGGAGGGAGGGGAGGAGGAGAGGAGGAGGAGGAGAGGAGAGGAGAGGGGGAGGGGGAGGGGGAGGGGAGAGGAGGAGGAGGAAGAGGATGGGGGAGGAGGAGGTGGGAGGAGGAGGAGGAGGAGGAGGAGGAGGAGGAGGAGGAGGAGGAGGAGGAGGAGGAGGGAGGAGGAGGGAGGGGGGAGGAGGAGGAGGAAGGAGGAGGAGGAGGAGGGGGGAAAGGGAGGGGGGAGGAGGAGGGGAGGAGGGGGGAGGAGGGGGAGGAGGGGGAGGAGGAGGAGGAGGAGGGGAGGAGGAGGAGGAGGAGGAGGAGGAGAGGAGGAGGAGGAGGAGGAGGGAGGAGGAGGAGGAGGAGGAGGAGGAGGAGGGGGAGGAGGAGGAAGGAGGGGGAAAGGGGGGAGGAGGAGGAGGGGGAGGAGGAGGAGGAGGAGGAGGAGGAGGAGGGGAGGAGGAGGAGGAGGAGGAGGAGGTGGAGGAGGAGGAGGAGGGAGGAGGAGGGAGTTGGGGGGGGGGAGGAAGGGGGTTTTGAGGGGGGGAAGAGGGGGGTGGGGGAGAGGGGCGGCGAAAGGGGGAGGGGGGGAAAAAAAAATGGGGCGGGCCGGTGAGAGAAGGTTTTTAAGAAGGTAGGGGGAAAAAAAAGGGGGGGGGGGGTGGGGGGGTGGGGTGGATTCAATTAATCCTTGTTCTAAAATTTAGAACAATATGGGGGGAAGGCCTCTACGAGACAACCCCGGGCTAAGGTATCCAAAGTTGTTATTAAAGAGTTCAAACTAAACGCGACTGTTCGAGTTGGAAGTGGGAAGACAGTTTTAGCGAAGACCAGTCAAAGGATGGCTAGATCTTGCTGTCAGTGTGACTTTGAAAATGGTCCAAGTCGGACCGAAACGTAGTCGTAAGCTTCTCTCTTTTATGTGCGGGTTATTTGTGTATCGTTCCAGTCACGGTATTGTGCCTTTTTGTTATTTATTTGTAAGTGTAATGTTGTTATTATTTTTTATATGCATGTACTTGATTTCTCATTGATTTCAGTATATAAATCTTTATTTAATTTGAAAAAAAATATTTTATTTTAATATTTTTGGGTGTCTGGAACGGATTAATTTTATTTCCATTATTTGTTATGGGAAAAATGGTTTCGAGTTTTGTGAATTTCGACTTTCGGCAGGCTCTCTGGAACGGATTAATCATGAAACTTGGGGGTCCACTGTATATGGGAGTGGAGGTGTAGGCAGATGGGACTTTGAAAAGTAAGGTGATTCCCAGAATAGATAAGGGTAAGAGAGTAACAGAAATGTTGAGGAATCTGAGGAAAGAAAGAATTTTGTAATTTTTACCTCACCAACCCAGCCATTTCCCACCAATTTAGGGTGACCCAAAAAAAAAGGATACATCTGACTAACATTCATTCAGTTACTGTCTTGTCATAAGTGTGCTGACATCACAATTCAAATAACCCTCCAACTGCAACATCCATACTCCACCTTTCAGATTGAAAGCACTGCTCTTTCTACCTCCATGACTAGTCTGGTTAACTAGTCTCTCAGAATTACTTTATAAATGATACCTTACTCACACTCTAATAGCATGTTCATTAAATATCACTTAGTCTTCACTCACTCCTATCTAACATGCTCAAATAAGCCTACTGAATGCTCAAGTCCCTAGTATTCAAAATCTTGACCCCCCTCTCTCCAACCATTCTTGGGTCAACTCTTAATCCTTCCACTTTCCACCCTAGATTTATACCTTCCTCATCATCCAAGTCCTCTCTTTTCTCTGTAAATGCCTGAATCAACTTAATAACCCCTTCTTAGCCATCTAAATCATATCCTTGGAATCCCCACACTTTTAATTTGTACAATTCCAATTCTTTGCACAATATTCATACCACATTCTGTAAATGGATGGTAAAGAAGAAAATGTATCAAAGAACAGTTACGTCAACATTTTTTTTTTCTTCTTTTTAACAAGTCTCCCACCGAGGCAGGGTGACCCAAAAAGAAAATCCCCAAAAAAGAAAATACTTTCATCATCATTCAACACTTTCACCTCACATATAATCACTGTTTTTGCAGAGGTGCTCAGAACACAACAGTTTAGAAGCATATACATATAAAGATACACAACATATCCCTCCAAACTGCTAATATCCCAAAACCCCTCCTTTAGAGTGCAGGCATTGTACTTCCCATTTCCAGGACTCAAGTCTGGTTATATAAAAATAACCGGTTTCCCTGAATCCCTTCACTAAATATTACCCTGCTTACACTCCAACAGATCGTCAGGTCCCAAATACCATTCGTCTCCATTCACTCCTATCGAACACGCTCATGCACGCCTGCTGGAAGTCAAAGCCCCTCGCCCACAAAACCTCCCTTACCCCTTCCTTCCAACCTTTTCGAGGACGACCCCTGCCCCACCTTACTTCCCCTACAGGTTAAATTCTCTCCATGCCATTCTACTTTGATCCATTCTCTCTAAATGGCCAAACCACCTCAACAACCCCTCTTCTGCCCTCTGACTAATACTTTTATTAACTCCACACCTTCTCCTAATTTCCACACTCCGAATTTTCTGCATAATATTTACACCATACATTGCCCTTAGACAGGACATCTCCACTGCCTCAAACCACCTCCTCGCTGCTGCATTAACAACCCAAGCTTCACACCCATATAAGAGTGTTGGTACTACTATACTTTCATACATTCCCTTCTTTGCCTCCATAGACAATGTTTTTTGTCTCCACACATACCTCAATGCACCACTCAATTTTTTCCCTCATTAATTCTATAATTAACCTCATCCTTCATTAATCCATCCGCCAACACGTCAGCTCCCAAGTATCTGAAAACATTCATTTCTTCCATACTCCTCCTCCCCAATTTGATATCCAATTTTTCTTTATCTAAATCATTTGATACCCTCATCACCTTACTCTTTTCTATGTTCACTTTCAACTTTCTACCTTTACACACATTCCCAAACTCATCCACTAACCTTTGCAATTTTTCTTTAGAATCTCCCATAAGCACAGTATCATCCCATTTTGAATTTGATTCCCCATAATTTAATCCCACCCCTCTCCCGAACACCCTAGCATTTACTTCCTTTACAACCCCATCTATAAATATATTAAACAACCATGGTGACATTACACATCCCTGTCTAAGACCTACTTTTACCGGGAAGTAGTCTCCCTCTCTTCTACACACCCTAACCTGAG